ACGCGAGGCACTTTGTTGTCTCTTTTCTTGGAGAGCAATCCAGCAATATTTCGAGCCAGGAAAAGTTTTTTCGGTCTTGGAGAGTTTATTTCATCATACAGCGGAAGAGTTTGTAGTGGAAGAAAATTTGTGTCTGAATTCATCGTTTCGATAGAGGCATTTCATTTCGAGGAGTCATTCGGTGACTCCTTCTCTGAGTTGTCTTTTGAGTACGATTTCTCTGTGTTGTCAGATTTGTGTGTATATCTCGATCCATTCGTTTGTTTACCACATCGGGCGAGATGGACCAAGTGGTTGGAGCACGAATTTACTCACCGGAAGGTCCGCGGTTCGAACCCGACCTCTGCCTCTCGACTTCCCCTGTCTAGGCTTGGGCAACCTGGCAGTATCCCAGCCCTCGTGCCTCCTTCGTGTGACATGGCAGCTAGGCACCGAAAGGGTGCCACAGCTGAATGATTAATAATAATTAATTAAATTAAATACATCGTCCAAATTCGTTTGTGCAGTAGTCTGGAGTAGGGGAATCACCGCTGACTTGATAGACATTATAATATGGTCAGACTTCTGTTAATGATAACGGCAGTTTCGCAATATCACATCTGGCGCTTTCAGAGTACATTGTACTGTTCCATAATCCCCTACTTTGACCTCCCACTACAATATTTGTGCAGCCTGATCAATTATTCGCAGAGATAAATTCATAGAAGTCCAGTTCGCTTTTGCTATGTTTGAAAATGCATTAAACATTGCTTTGTGACATGTTCGTGAAAAGAACCACATAAATATCAAGAAAAGATTATTCTCGATGAACTAAAGGCTGCTTATGACTGCCGAGCGTCAGAAACCATGACGGTGCCTGGCGAACAAAGGGATCCCTTCTAATGCTTTTCCTTTGGAGGAACACTAAATGCAAACTCATATAAACTTGTCGCGGTATACGAGGAGCTTTCGACAGTTGACCGAATTCAGTGTTGCGAGGCATGACCTGGTAGCGCCGTACCACAGGCAAAACTCCCAGCAATGTCCAGATGTGACGATCTTGTCCCAGTATAAATCCATATCTGATAGGGGAGTAGTTTGAAGACACTCCAGAGACTTCCGATAAATGCGTCTAACTTCCGGAGCTGCCAATCAATCAGTTGTTCGGCGATTTACCATACTTTACGCAGCCCTGGAAAACAGAGAGATAAGCAACTCCGGACGACCGCGTGGTCAGAATTCACAAATGTACTCCAAAACGACCGGCAATCAGTTATTGATCCGTGCCGTCGGTAACTGATGGCAATGCGATTGGTTTGGGTTCGTAGCCGGCAAGCCCTTGGAGGAACCATGTGGCCAGGCGTCTTCGGCTGTTTGGGAAGTTAGTACTGCATAAAAACAGCCTGCTGTCAGCACACAACTCCCTATTTCTACATCCAGATCTTCGGCGACCACACTGTTAACTGACTTTTCCGCTCGCCTCAATAGGGTATTCAGGGCGTCATAAAAGTTGTCTTGCTGTAGTCAGAGCTACAGTCAGTTGGGGCGTAGGCAAACACGAAAAACAGGCATCGACCAACTTCGCACTTGTGAGACTCCTACACATGTGCTGCTAAATGAACCGCGCAGAGATGACTATCAACGGGTATCCAGTCAAGCATGGACCCTTGAACTCGGTGACTTAGAATGACACTAATCCCCGCACATCCTGCCGGAAGATCCCCTGGATCACCAGAGGCGACTTGCGGGAAGCGAGTAGACAGAGGTGGAGGGGTTAGCTCAACCACTGTGCTTTCATCTTGAATTCCTGTTTCCGAGACACAGCACACATCAATGCCAATTTAGTCCAATGTGAGAGCAAGAGGAGCTTGTTGAACTGCTTGCTGCCGAATGCGAGCATCGGAAACAGCCAGATAGCGGGGGCATCGTGGCTTGACGATTTATTTCGAAGTGCTTGAGGATGTCGATGCGGGATGACGTGCAGACGTTGCTTTCAAAACCAATGCAGTCCTAAATGTCGGGTATAGAAGGAGAGAGCTATTGAACTGGTGGGGAGGATAAGAGAACGTAAGTGAAAGAGGAAGAAGACAGGCATCGTGAGTAGCCTGTTTTTGCTTGCCCACTCTGCTTATGCAGCAAATAAGGCAACCCGGCTGATGGTTTCGCACGACCGCCAATGTGGCGTGAGTCTATTTGAATGTGTGCCATTCATGGTTGTGCGTGGGCTGCGATAATGCATGCGCGCCTACATATTGACAGGAGGTCGGTTAGGGCCCTCAACCAAAGCTTTCGACTCAAAAGCCTGACCGCAAGGCAGCGGTGTTTGGCGGGAAATGCAAATGCATTACCGTTTATACGGATCAGTTTGCCACAACTGTTCCAACCACCATCTGGCGATCCAAGAAACTGTTCGTCAGACCTCTAACCGTTGATCAACCTGAGACTCTGCGATTGTTGCACGGTATGATAGCTCAATGGGTCACGGAGGACGAAAACAAACCGGTACACCACGGTAAGGTCCAGTCTCTTCGTGATGGTTCATGTTTCTTCGTATATGATCAGTTAGGAGCACCATTTTTCCACGACTAAGAAATCGAATCATTAACCATCCAAATAGAGGGACGCCAATTTCACTCCTTGTGATAAGCATAATGGTATAGGGAATGCGCAACGACTTAATGGTAATCCACTTTATTAACTCTTTTTGCAGCTGATAAGAAAGCACGCGACGAGTTTCTAAGATCCACTACAGAGAACTTGGACATCTCTTGCGCGATATAACTGATACTGCTCAGCTTGGTAGCGATTAAGTACACTGGGAAGCCATCTTTGGCAGCAAGGCTGGATTTGCCACGTTTAGAGGATGCCTTTCAGGGGAGTAGGTGCCGGCGTTTCACGAAATCGAATGCGTTTGGGTATGCAACCGGCCAACGGTCTGACCAAAATCGCACGAGTCAGACAGGATGATCGCTTGCCAACGTATGTCGGTTGCTGGGTAATCCTGACAATCGGAACCTCATAAGCTCTAGTGATTTCACGAAGTCCAAGTGCACCCTACCATCGGGCTGTTTCCTAGCTCGTATCAGATTAACAAGAATGTGTCTGAAGTGCTTGAGCGGAAAAGAGGACTGAGGGCTAGAGTCACTAGACCATAATACGCTATCGAAAGTGTTCCAGAATCAGAGGTAACCATTTTCCCGCCATCAGTCTTTTGTGAAAACTTATGGCAAAGTTACGCTGTTTACCTCTTGTTTGTCGCCAATCCAAAGCTTTAAAAAAAATGCAATTGCTTGCTAAGAACAACTGGCTTGATTCAAATTAAACCATCAATTTCGTTAACGGTTAAACAAACACCATATCTCCGAAACTATTGGAAAATTCCATTTATGTACAGCTGTGAAGAATTACGAAGACAGTTGGGTCGGTCTGAAGCATTTTCCAATTGATTGATTACAGTTGGGTTACCTTTTCGTATAGAGACATAGGTCGAAATAGTCGTGCAACTTCCACTGAAGTATCACTGTACCGTTATCGAGCCAGGTAATACAGGGTTTAGCGGAACGGTCCGTGGAGCGTTTCAAACTGAGTCGACTTCGGAACTTAGTTCACTAAGAGGTTTCTCGCTGTGCGGCCTAACTACACTTTTCCACATCCTATTATTCTGTGCGCAGCATTCTTTCCGAGTGGGATTCGGTGGTGGAAATATGGGCGCAAGTGGCAAGTGTCCTGTGGTGGGATTTCATCCAAGAGCAGGGCTAGTGTGTCCTCCACAAGTCACGGCAAAGGAACTTTGAAGGCTTTTAAATTATGCCTACCTTACGCTCACCACTTTAAATTTAGAAGGCTGATTCTCCTCTTGGAAACTTCACTCAGATTTTCCTTATTGTTGGCAGCAACAGTCTTACTGAACAGTCGAGACGGAGAAGTAATAGAAGGCTGTCCCACCTTCATGCAAAAATGGGAGCGCATGGACTTCAACCTTATCGGCAAGATTCTGTCAGTTGTTAACGTCGGGTGTTAGTTTTGTGACAAAAATTGTTCAGCCATAGCACCCTTCCGCTGCCATGCCAACGGAAGGAGGCACGAGGATCGGGACGCTGCCAGGTTGTCCAGACCTAGACAGGAGCAGTCGAGATGCTGAGTTTGGGTTCGAACCATGGAATTTCCAGTCAGGAAGCTGGCGTCTTAACCACTGAGCTATCTCGAATATCCACTAAATATTAGAGGGCATGATGTCCGCGATAGACTAATGACAATGTATTGGGAAACCGAAATATGGTTGCCTGAGAAGAGCAAGGTTTAGTTCCATCTCGTTAGGTGGGATACAGGTCCCGTTTCATGACCTCTACGATCCTGTGCACAAATAATTCGTTTCATAACGAACCAGGGAGTCGCGAATAACTTATGGTTAAAAACTACCAGTGACTTCATTTTGAAACTCTTAGTCAGGCCAGATCTAAGAAGCAGCGGTGAGATCGGAAAATCAAAAAGACGACCATCGGCCTGATTACAGCAAAGCCAGTCTTTTATTCAAACAAGAAAAATAGACATGTTTTCTCATTTAACACTAACGGTGACTTAGGTTAGCCACAGAGGCGCGTCCGATGTAACGGGTTTTGCACGAACGCGTTTTTGCTGGGACTCTGAGTGTGCACTGATGATGGACAATCGACGTGATAGGACGACTGAAAAGAAAAATCTACCGTCATGACCACAAGCCATAGTTCTTCTAGTCCATTACTGCACACAGTGAGCACTCGGCTAAGCGAATAATTCCTGGAAGCCACGTGTCATATTATTCAGAAGTAATCTATACTAGGAGCGGACACCAAACGCACAAATGTTATTTCCATTTCGGACTAGTGAAGAAGCTCGAAATGATTTTATTGATTTGGAGGGCTCGACAGTTGCCGACTGGGAGTCTTTGTTCCCGAGATCGAAACACGTGAACACAGGCGAGATCACTTCAGTTTAGTTATACTACGTTCTGGGGGGAGGCAACAAAAAAGGCTGATACGTGGGACGGGACGTGATTTCTTTCTACGTTTTCTGTTCACTTGAATTCTTCATTCAAAAAAAGTGAAGGTAGTGGGTGATGCAAAAGTAAAAAGAATCCTGTACAATGATCAGAGAAGAGGCTCATTAGAAGACATCAGTTCAATGTTCACTAGAACCATTATGATCGCATCACAGTGAGGATCTTACTTCAATGTCCATATTTTACAAACAAAAGAAAACGCCGCCACAATGTGATTGAGTATAGAGACCAAGACTAGAAAATATGAAAAAGGAAATAAAACAGAAAACGAATATGTTGCTCCAGTGCCTACGTATATACATATGAACATGTAAGAGGAAAGTGACCATAAAGGAATAGAGACGGGCAAATTAAGGAGTGAGAAATCCCAAGTTTGTATGGCCTAAATGATTACAATACCTGAAGTAATCAAAAAAAGTAGAATAACGAATACTGTGTGTGCACATGGTTCCAGCGCTTAAGATGCACTCTGTAAATGCCATAAAGGCCACATAGGGGGTGGGAGAAGTAAGACGGACGACAAAAATGCATAAGAGGTGAATAACTGAGTGTTTCTTTCAGGTCGCTGACAATCGCTGATCAATCGGTTTTGGGTCACCGGCTCGACGAACAGATTGGGTCAGAAATTCGTGGTCCAGCAAGGATGAATAGATGACATCGTGTTGATTTAGGCAACCGAGACACTCAAAGATAACGGGAGCAGATTCCAACTTTGAAAAGGCCAACTCACAAAGCAGACTCTCCGAGGCTGCCACATGCCTATCAAATAAAGAGTTGAGAAACAGGTAAGCTGGGAAGGGTCAAAACAGAACTAGCTAGTCAAGGTGTATCTCCATCACCATAGACAATATCAATGCGAACACTACTGCTACACTACAGTACAAGAAGTCTTATTTTGGAAAATTCTAACAGTAAGTAGAGAACACGGTGCCCATAACTCTGAACACCCGACCAAGCAATCTCAATAACAATCGATAGCATTAACCACTAACACATTTCACGTCTCCAACTAACCACAAGGAGGGACAAAGATACCACATTCGAGATGACGACGAACCAGGCCGAAACTTCCACAGATCCCTTCGAACCCTCTGACTGGCCATCGTTTTTTGAGATACATTATGGTCGTTATCATACTACTGGCAGATTTCGTCGTTCTCTCTCCAGCTGTGGTGGCTGGAATATTTACGAAAATGCCAAATTACCACCATCAACGATGGACAGCCCCAAAACCAAACTCAAAACGGAATAATGAAGGAACTGGATTCAGCTGAGACGAAAGTACAGGCTTTAAATCGTACACTGCTTACGCCATTTCGGTTGCGACTTGAAACGAGCAGAGCGCAACACAGTATCCCACATACATAACCAGTAGATTGATTCTTCAGTCGAAGGTGGGTAAGAATGCGGAACAGCCACCACAATCCTTCATAAGGGGGTCAATAACATCCTCCCACGATAAAGACGTGAACCTCAGCTGAGTGGGGTCAACTCGGATTAGTCAAATAACAATGGTCCACTCCGTTTACTACTCACTTTCTTTTTGTCATTCGTGGTTGTCTAGGGGCATGACAGAATGAGGCAGTACGTTTACATGGCGAGGATCAATGCAAATGCACACCAGAATAAACAAGTGGTCATTAAACTTTCGATCGAAAGTATCGAAAGGGCAGGGATAGTGAACTATCTGAAAAACAATAATAACTTACCGTCGAGCAGTCGCGCTATACTGAAGGAAATTCTTCAAAGCTAGGGCAGCTGTTAGGCGGATGTGTTTCGTGACAGGGCCTTCACGCTGAGGATGTGGCGTAAATGGCGGATTAGGAATGCCACCAGCAAGCGCTTTTCGGCATTCCGCAGAAATGACTGGTGGCGAGGACCATAGTGCGTGCTGTAGTTGAGTCACTGACAGAGGTTCTAATAATGGCTGTCTTGGCTCCGGTTGTTCGGTTGACATGGAGTTAGGCGAAATTGATCTGGTAGGGCCTGCTATGGACTCTTCTTCAGGTAGTGGGACATTGGGCTCAGGTGTCGATGGCGGGGGAGGCACGTGAGGGAGGTTGTGAATAGGAACACCTGGCTCGTTTGTGTGATTGCTGCTCCCACTAGATTGCAATGAAAATTCAACCGAATTACTGTTTTCAGGCGAAGAAGGGATAACAATGGGTGAATTGCTATTTTCAGGGTTCGGGGAATCAGCTTGAAGCAAGGCAGATATCGAAGTGAGCGCCGGTTTTCCCGCCGTTTTGGTAGTACAAACGGAAGCCGAAGTCGTAGAAGGGACAGAAGATAAGTGGTTATCAACCAGATGTGTGATAAAGACATCCCGGGAAGTCTGCAACAATCGTTGCGAACAACCGTCCCAATGGCAAAAAATCTGAATGAAAACAAAAGAGAAAATTACCATTTGGTAAAATGATGACCACACTGCAAACTAAATTATTCGTAAGCATTACATTGTCACGCCTAAACCAATAAGTACAACAAAAAAAGGTCGAATGCGCATGGACACTCAAACGCTGCAAATAAAGTATTTACACACACTGGAAGGAGCTGACCATGGTGTACGTCATTTTCATTATCGAACTGTATCTAGTAAGAAGTCAACTACGAACGGTTGACCATTGGAGTCTACTACGGCTGAAGACGCGTGCGAAGATGCAGCAATTCGAGAAAAGACAAAGCCTGAATTTCAGGATGGACGGAAGATCAGAATCAAGAGGATCAGATAGTTTTCATTGGATGATTAATGTGTATTGAATGAATAATGTGTGTGTGAGTAAAACACTGTATTAGTATGAAGTAGAACCAAAAACAAGGTCAACTAACCTCAGTGGTAGAATTCATGTAATGGGATTCAAATACGTGCTCTTTCAGGTATTCAGGACCATCAAACGTCCGTCCACAATGATCCCACAGACAAACGAACGTAACTGGAGGAACTGCTGATTGTCCGTTATGCAATAGCTCAGGGTTTCGTTGTAGGTTGATTTCGGCAGGTTTTCCAATATCATCGATTCCACTGTGTGGAAGTAAGGCGCATGCAGCGGAGTGATTGTCATTTGGATTTAACTTAACAGTAGTGGTGGTAGTGGTAGGAGCGGAGCTACAGTTAGTCGGATGGTTCGAGGGTGCGCTCACCCGTTGCTGAACAGGAGAGATGCAAACTGCCATACCCATTTGTTTTTGGGCATTACCGGGATTGTGAATAACCGGATGTTGTCCTTTAATATTGCTGACCGTGGGGTGGAAATTCAGTGTGGTGAAGACTGGTAGTAATACAAGACCAGTTTCCTTGGATACTAGTTCATTTAATTTCGGACAGTTTGATAAAGTGGCCGTCCCTCCGGTTTGTGGTGCAGAGGATGTAACAGAGGATATCCTGGGCTGAAAACCGTTCGGAAGTATGGCTATTTTATCGTTGTTTGGATTTGTGATGATACGGGCAACATCTTTGTTCAGTCCGTTCATTGGAGAAGCTGTCCGACCATTCACCGCTTCCAAATATTCGGTGTGCCCATTAAGGGGAGTGTCAATTGGTTTGGGGACGGTTTTTGCTGGAGGACCATTATCACTGTCAAGTGAAATAGCGGTTGAGTGATCTGTGGAGTTCCTCGGGATGCTGACTTTTCGTCGCTTCTGTGTCTGTTGGGAGTGTAAACAGATAATGTGGATTGAATATGATGCGCTGCAGAATAACTAGATATTATTTACACAAAATTTTGTACACGGTTCAGAAAGTGCAGCGTGAAAAGCAATGAGCAACTCTGATAACGCACGTTTCACCCCACAAACGGTCACTCGTCACCGGCATGGAGGATTGAACACAAAGTTAGCCATAAACGTTAGCATCAGCTGATTACCAGCAGGTTAGCCGAATATGCGGGGGCAGACAGACAGGACGCGCTACAATTGGGGTGACCAGATGATCAACAAGACGAGGCAACCAATGAAATACGTTGAAAGTCAGCTGTGAACTACCACGTGGATGTGGGATGTCCATTCAGCTCCCCTATTGGACAACAGTGAGAGGTGAAGAATGGAAGATGCCATGTAACTAACCCAAAGTAAACACTGAACGGTTGATGTAGCAAGAAGTTTGGTTTGGTGCAGGTAAATCTTGGTGCACTACAGTTTAGAAGCCTCCGAAAAGAGGCAATGAAAAGACACGAACACCAACCAGAACAAGTTTCCAATATTGGAAACAAAAAAGCTATATTGAAAACGACAAAGGATAAGCGTTGGCGATGGACAAAACCGCAGCACGAGATCATGTCGTATATTGAGTGTCATTTCAGTGCTTTAGTCCAGTTAGATGGGGTAGCAATGGCTAATGGTGTTTATGGCAGAACTAGGCATGGTGACCGAGCCACAGCCAGTTGAGGTGTGATGCCGAACACCAAAGTCCTTTATTGGAGATCGAATATTCGATCCCCATACATGCACAATAAAGTAAGGCCCACAAGTCGATCGAAAGATGACGGTAAGCAGAGGACGACAAAAACGGTTTGGAGTCTTAGTTTACGTACAATCAATATCACTGACTCACTTTGGCTACCAACGGCTGTACGGGGATGGTGCTCGGCCTGGGACAAAGCACAGCTGCCATTATATCGTTCACACCTGGGGAGAAAAAACATGAGGTCTAGAATAATCCACTACTACCTTGTGTACTTTTAGGTTCAGGTGAATTGAGATGCTTCAAATGGTGGTAATGTATTTCGACATGTCCACCAGGAGTCTGAACTTTGATCTGTTCGATCCCGGGGAAAATTGACCTGAAAAGGTGAGTAAAAGGAAAACAGTGGCGATAGTGGGATCGGTGAAAAAATAGTACAAAAATGAACACAGCAAGCGCTGTCAAGTCCATGCCAGAAAAACGATGAAGGTTGACAGTTATACACATGCAAGGCTGACTTTAACAAATTTAGTGAACCAAAAGTGCACGGAACGAAAATAATTTTGCATTGGGATGTGTGGCTTTAGCCTGACCGAAGACTAGCACCTAGGATTAGTAAACTAATGACGGACTTTGGACCAGTAAATTATCCTAATTAGAAGCAAGTCAGCGTTGACCTACGCCTTTGGAGCCACGAGGAAATCCTCAGAGCAGCTTAACAACAAAAAGCAACATGTGCACAAGACATGAAGTTCGATAACTAATGAAAGTACAATTGTTTGTTAATCCAAAACAAATAATAGAAGTGTTAAAGGAGGAAAACGGGTACTCGGATCATCGAAACTAGGCTAGAACTAAAGTCAAGGAAATAGGAGTCTGTATGGGCTGATGCTTATCGACCAGCTGCTGTGAGCAGCCAACTAACAATTAGTTTACGGACCGCTTCAACTGCCAGCTCTATGGATGGGGAAGACTGATCCTAAGGCAGAAAGCTATTTGTGGTGAAATTACCTGTAAATGATAGACTTCATCTGAATAGAAAACTTACTTCAGCTCAGCATGAAATTCTATAGGAGAAACGGCTCCGCCATTATTGAACCCAAATCTACGCTGATGGGCCTGTTGATAATCGGTATAGATTTGTATTCTGGGGACGGTGGAGTGAGAATGGACAACATAATTCTTCCTCAGCCATTCGAACATGTAAGCGCGACGAGTTGTGTGTGAAACGGTGGTGGGTGCTTCTGATGAGGCGCGTAATGGTCTAGCTGTGGATGCTTTCAAAGCAGGCAAGGCGCTTCGAACTGGAGGTGACGGCCTCCGTGGAGTCGCACATGTCTGGGTAGTCCTCACGTCCACCACCTGTTGGTGAGGGAGCCGGAATGGCTTGATATCGGATAGAATGAGAACTTCCGTTGAAGGTAGCTTAGAGACTGTCTGAGTAGAGGTAGGTAAACTGCTTACAGAGGATACTGCGTACGACTGGACGCAAGACAGTTGTTGTGGCTCACTGACCGGAACCGGTGTTGCAACGATAGTTATACGCGGGACAACGGTGGACACAGGTGAGCAGATTGAGGTGTTGATCGACAGAGACAATTGAGGTTGAACCGAACAAACGGGCGTTGCTTGCACATCATCAGTAACAGATCTGAAAGCCGGAATGCTTGGGTTGGTGACGGGTCTCGGTAAATTCACAAATGGACACTGCAGAGCGTCAGTGTGCAATTCCGGTTGACACATGATTTTATTCGGATCCTGAAGATAACCCAAATTAAAAATGAGCAAACTCGCAACAGTAACGTCAACAACGGAGCAGGTGCATGTGTTGATAATACTGAAACGGTCTGTAGAACAATTGGATATAGTTTGTAAATACAACAGTGACAAGACACTTATTTCCGACTGCTGTCCCTGTTCCGGTACCCAGTGCCGGAAAAAGTCGCCGCCGAGGAACAACGCAGCTTTATTAAAAGTACGGCGACCTCGCGCTGTGTTTTTAAGTTGACTCTTTGACCCTGATCCAAGGCTGTCTGACGCTATATTCTTAAGGGCACTGTCTGACATTGATTCAAGGCTGTCTGATCGACGTTTAGTGGAGTTTGAGGGTCTCTGTAGGCTTCCGGTATTCTGGGATAATCTTCAGGAATCTGACCTGCAAGACACACACACATCCTGTCAAACGGGTAACTGTGGTGGCACTGTAACTACCTCACAGGAGGATCAGCTGCACAACTCAAGAAAATAAGCCAAATACTCCCATATGTACAGTTTTGTGTTCATATTTACAAGATAATATGGAAAAAGCGCCAGTGTGCTTACCAGAGAATGGAGGGTAAAAAGCGGCGAAGCTGAAGTTAAAGGGATATGTGGTTCTTTGCACACCGTTGGGAAGCTGGGCTGGGTGGTACGCGTGAAAGAACTTGGTTGAGTGGACGGTCGTATAAAGTCGCTTCCGTGGGAAGTCGTAGAAGGCTGCGATCCCGTCGGAGCAGAGGTCTTCTGTGTCCCAGCACCTAAAGCCTGCATTACACGAACACGCACGAGGCTTTCGGAGCCCATGGATTGTGCTTCGAGCCGCAGTAAGGCAACAAGCATTTCTAAAATATTCGCCAAACCCGTAACCTGAGAACAACGATAAACATCTTCAAGCGGTTGCTCTAGATCAACATGGGACCTCAGCATTCGTTCGCACAATACGGACCCGAGTGATGATAAGCTGTATATCGTATCGAGCGCTAGAACAACGAGGTGTAGATCTCTCAAGCACAATCGGGATATAATGCATCGAAAAACGACGGAGGGAAGCATCGACAAAAATTCAGAATTCCGGTCCGTTGTCAACATCGCACGGTCACGTGTAGCAGATTGGGTTTGGATGGTATTGGCTGCTCGTAGTCGATCGACGGCCGATAGGTAGGTAGGGGACTCGCACAATCGACGGACAAGTTGTAGCCCTTTGCACACAGAAGCCAGTGGAAACATGTTAGCATTATAAACAATTGATCTATGGATGATAGGGTTGTTGAAAACACTATTTCCAGCTAAGACAACGCAATAGGTGAAAAAGATGGTAAGTGGGAAAACAACAGATCCAGGACTTTATTAGCGAAGGTTCGAAAGTAGTCATATACCTGGAGGGGTGGATGCAAATTGGTCTAGATCGGACCGTCACCAAAATCGATAACCGCAGGTACAACCATAAATAAAGATCTACTAAAACCATGCTGGAGCGTTGAGTTCCCACGCAGATTCGTCGCACTTCTTGTACGAAATACTGACGGATGTGAGATTAAATAAACCATTGATGAGAATAGTGACCTTTCAATGTAGCACATGGTGCACTCTAAAAGTATCGATTACGACAGGAGTGAGTCCCTTAATGAATTTAAAAAATCCAAAATATCGGAAATTTATCACCATGAGAGCGACATACATTTGTTCGATTACTTGTTTATGCTTGCCAGGAATTACGTTAGTAGACCAGTGGGTTCAGAGCAATAAACTCTATGCTAAATGAATCTAATTGCTTTAGGCCTGCGAGATGGCTCAGTGGTAACAGCGCGAATTTACTGACCGGAAGGTCCGTGGTTCGAACCCGACGAACCTCTCGACTTTCCCTGTTTAGGCTTGAACAACTTGGTAGTATCCCAGCCCCCATGCTTCCTCCTCCTGGTGGAATGGCAGTTAAGCACCGAAAGGATGCTACAGCTGAACGATTTTTTCGGCCTGCGTAACCGCGAGGAGACGATGGAAGTTCCTACCTAGTTACAGTTTTCCGAGGACGTTAAAAGCGAAAGCAATATACTGACGGGAAACCCACGAGGGGTATTGTACGCCGAGATCGCTGCCAGCGGTTGGCTTACATTAGTCGGTGACCTCTAAACAAAGCAAAGAGAGGTCAACTAAAATCCACCATAGCAGAATGGCATGGGTGAACTTCAAAAATATGAGCAGTTGATGAATTTTGACATAGACAAGACCACATTTGCAACCAACATACCTCTGATTTGGTCGTTTCGGTCACAACTAGTCAACAAAGTTCGAAGTAGACGACTGAGGATTGGACGCAAACAGCTGACTACAGGGAAGTGTAGCGATGACAAAATTTCCAGGCCCAGTTGCCGAAGGCTCGAATGCTTAGCATAAATGCACAGAAAAGTGAAACGTAGGGCTTGTGGGTCCCGGCCGATTTCGACCGCACTCAAACCACCCTCGATAGCCAAATTCCGCAAGACGGTTGCAACCAATTGCACACGAAAGCCTTCGTCATCACCATAGGCCATATCATGCAGCTCCACCAAGTTTGAGTCCTGCGTAACGCATGCACTCTCCACATTCGTTTGGGGACCTATCCGAGGAAGAACCCCGACATGAAGAATAAACGAAAACTGAAAACGAGACCTCCAGCCCATTTACTGACAAAAAACACAACTATGGAACGTACATAAAACCACGTCACGACCATCGGTTGCGATCAGTAGCGATAACAATAGCATCGTTAAACATTGGGGCTGCATTGACGCATGAAAATAAGTATAGACTGAAAACAAGTAGGACTACTGCGCGCTACAATAAACTACAATATTCGCCATTAAAAACACACGTAAAATAAACCTAATGACCTATCCTGGAAAGTAGAGGGCACGTCGTCGGGAGTATATGGACAAGTTAATGGCCACTCACCTGATTTAACTAGTTCAGTTTTTTGCAGTCGAGATGGCTGTGGTTGTGGAGTGGACTTACAAACCGGTTCGAACCCAACCCCGGCACCCCGACTGCTATGTTATGGGCTTGGGCAACCTGGCAACATATCAGCCCTCGTACATCCTCCGAGTAGCATGGCACCTAGGCGCCGAAACGGCTTACCAACTACCGTGTGACGGAAAACTACTCAATAGTTTCATGGTATGGACCCTGAAGCATACCGAATCACAGTCATTGTATGCTCCTGTAAATCATACCAAGTGCCGTTACTGGACCATTTATCATCGTGCCACCTAAACGTAGGGAACTGTCAAAGTTGAAATTACAGGTCATCAAACTCGTTCGTAGACAAACCGAGTTGACAAGTGACTGTGTACGGTTGTTAATGCATGTAGAATAACCGGCAAAAACATGCGGTGGAAGTCCCAACCAAAGTTCAGAGAACCCCTCTTCCATACATGGCTGTCGTAGTGCTACTGCAAGACTGGATGGGCTCGAACCCTAGCCCCATGCTTGCGGATGAACCGATTGAGGTGGTAGACAAATGTTTTTACTTGGGCAGCTGTATCAGTCCCGGTTGTCTAGCGAAAGATGATATTTACATCCGGATTGGGAAGGCCAGTGCAGCTTTTGTGAACCTGCGTCACCTGTGGCGTAGGCGTGACATCAGCTTATCCGTCAAGGGTCGAGTTCACAATGCTTCGGTGCGCACGGATCAGAAACCTGGCCGTCGCGCGTTGACGTCAAAAGACTTTCAGTGTTTGACCATCGATGTCTTCGGAGCCTAGCCTGAGTCTGGTGGGAACACCTGATCAGCGATGCTGAAGTACGCCGAATGGTATTCGGGAGAAATTACTCACCCTCGACTGATGGACTGAGCACACTGCAAAGATTGCGCTGACTTGGTCACGTGCTCCGTATGCCAGTCAACCGACTTTCTCGTAGGGTCCTTTTCACACAGCCACGTGAAGGATGAAAACGAGTCAGAGGCCGTCAAACAACGACTTGGCAGCGAAGTTTAAAGGTAATTACCAGCAAACTCAGCTGCGTTGGTCAGGATGATGGTAACTGATGGTAACTGACATAACAGATGAAACCAACGCTGAAAGATACGGTACTTCTCTCATCATCATCATTAACATCTCTCATCGATCCCCCCTGAGAAGACCGCTTTAGAAGCTTTATTCAAGATCGCGGAAACAGGCGGGAAATAAGTGACTGGATAGAATTAAATGAAGGATGTTGTCACCAGCCAGGATAAAGCGTATGTGGTTCTCTCTATGAGTGTAAACCGTACTTTTAACATACCATTAATTGTTGGCGACCAGCGTGTACGGCTGTCACTTTGCAGTAGTATGGCGCCATTCCTATCCCAAACCCCAACCTGAAAAGCCATGAAATCGTATTCACACACTGACCGGCATGATGAGAATTTCAATGGGGCTCCATGGGTGCAGTTAGAATAGGATCCAGCTTCTTCGTGAACTGCAGGATTTGAACCACCGAAAGTGAATTAGCGTCACTAAAGATGTAGGTGCTTAAGCTGGGCGTCCAGTTTGCCCGTTGCTTGACCCAAATCAATAGGGAACGCGCGTGGTCCCCGGCCTCCCGGGGCGTCACGAAGAGATTGGGCCTTGCCGTGTGACGTTCTGTTTTTAAACTCCGTGAACCCGCCGGGGGTGTCCGTGCAATACTCGCAGAGTCTCACACCAGGTTGATCAATGGTTAGAGGTCTGACGAACACAGTCTCCTGGATCGCCAGATGGAGGTTGGAACAGTTGTGGCAAATTGATCCGTATAAACGGTAATGCATTTGCATTTCCCGCTGCCTTGTGGCCAGGCTTTTGAGTCAAAAGCTTTGGTTGAGGGCCCTGACCGACCTCCTGTCAAGGCGTGCGCGCCCCGGCGTTAGCCCATCCCACGCACAACCATGAATGGCACATATTCAAATAGACTCACGCCACATTGGCGGTCACGCGAAGCCAGCAGCCGGGTTGCCTTACTTGCTGCATAAGCAGGGTGGGTAAGCGAAAAAAGGCTACTCACGATGCCTGTCTTCTTCCTCTTTCAGTTACGTTTGCTTCCTCCTCTCTTCCATTCTAGACCCGTCAGTTAGGACTGTATTGGTTTTGAAAGCAACGTTTGCATGTCATCCCACATCGATATCCTCAAGCACTTCGAAATAAATCGTCAAGCCACGATGCCCACTCTATCTGACTGCTTCCGATGGTCGCACTCGGAAGCAAGCAGGGTCAACAAGCTCCTGTAGCTCACTTGGCATCGATGTGTTGTGTCTCAGAAACAATCATTCAAGATGAAAGCACAGTGGTTGAGCTAACCGCTCCAATCGCTTCCCGCAAGTCACATCTTGTGATCCAAGGGATGTTGTGGTAGGATGTGCGGGGATTGCTGTCATCCTAAGTCACCAGGTGCAAGGGTCCTTGCTTGACGGGATACCCGTTGATAGTCACCCCTGCGCGGTTCATCTGGCAACGTCTGCGCAGGAGTCTCACAAGCACGAAGTTGGTCGATGTCTGTTTGTCGTGTCTGCCCACACCCCAACTGACTGTAGATGTGACTACATCGAAGACAAGTTTTCTGACGCCTTGAATACCCTATTCAGGCGAGCGGAAAAGTCGGCTATCGCTGAAGATCGGCTACGCCGAAGATCTGAAGGTAGAGATAGGCAGGATAAGCGCATCTGAGACTTGGTTAGGTTTTCGATGTGGGTTGAACTCGGTACGTTCAGGCAGTGGTGAACGATCGCTTCAGCTGTGTGCTGACAGCAGGCTGTTTTTATGCAGCACAAACTTCCGAAATAGCTGAAGACGCCTGGCCACATGGTGTCCTTCAACGGCATGCCGGCTACGAACTCAAATCAATCGCATTGCCATCAGTTACCGAAGGCACGGATCAATAACTGACTGCTGGTCGTTTTGGAGTACATTTGTGAATTCTGACCACGCGGTCGTCCGGAGTTGCTTGTCTCTCTGTTTTCCAGGGCTGCGTAAAGTACGGTAAATCGCCGAACAACTGACTGACTGGCAGCTGCGGAAGTCAGACGAATTTATCGGAAGTCTGTGGAGTCTCTTGCAACTGCTCCACTATCAGATGTGAATTTATACTGGGACGAGATTGTCACTTCTTTGCACATTGCTGGGAGTTTTGCCAGTGATATGGCGCTACCAGACCTACGCCAGCACCATATATTAGATCAAACTTAAATCTTCTGTGAGCGAAACCATCAAGGATCGAAATGGAATGGGTAGAGAACGCTTCGGTCGTTACAAATCAGGGGACGTGAAAGGAGCCTTGCATTGATTTCGTTACACCACAGTCGGAGCTAATACTACTTCCAAGATTGATAAATCTCCACAACTTCGGCTGGCTCTCCCTCTGGATTGTAAGTGGCGTGTTCAGTGACAGCATTTCCACGAACATGACCTCACACTTTGTGGGCGCAAAGTGCATGTCAAAGAACGGAATGAGTTAGACCAGTTTATTCTGCGTATTCTTTTCCTCTTCGAAGATGAGAACAATGCCGTCTGCGTATTCCAGATTGACATGGTTTTCGTGAGCTGTTATGTGAGCACTGGGGTTTTTAAGATTTTCAAGATTCCTATCAATATCTGATTGATTACGACATTGAACAGAAATGGAAAGTTGTAACTGTAATGAACATCACTTTGTGTACGGAAGCCGTTGGAGAGCTCTCCAGATACTCTCACACGCCAAGAAGGCTAATACAAAGAATTTATGGTTTACAAAATTTCGTCATTCCTTGATAGACAAGGGGAATAGACCAGTCAACCGAGTCAAAAGCGGCTTGGAAATCCAGGAATACTAAAACTGCCGATTTTCTGTATGTATGACGCTGTTCTAGCATTCGAAGATTTGCTCAACGCTACCCCTACCAGGCCAGAATCCCGCTTACTTCCCTGGGGGGGGGGTGTTGGTCACGAGCCACCATACGATGAAGAAGCGCAAATAACAGGCTCACTGCGACCGGGATCAAGTTTGCCCCCTGTAGTTACTACAATCAATGTGAACATCTTTTTTGGAAACAGGCACCATTACCGACTCCCCCAGTTGCCTGGGATGGTCCTCTTTTCCCAAATGCAGGCAAACAGATCAAACAAGCGCTGACTGAGGACTTAACCTGCATCTCTGAATAAAGGGGGTGGGAGGTCATCCAGACCAGAAGCTCAGTGGCGCCTGGTTGATAAATGCTCTATTTTTCGGTAACCGAAGCCGTAGTATCTGAAACTAGCGTAGATTGGTGCACGGTTTATGGTTGATAAACCGAACTAAGTGTACACCAATTTTCATGCCTTCTGTCAACCTTCTCCTTTAGGATATTTTTGTTTTGAGGTGCAACGCAATTTTAACTTCTCGTATTTTTGGCGCGCCACGTGCTCGCTGACAGTCCCGCATTCAGTGTAAACATTTTCCGCAGTTGCCGTTTAAATATATATTCGCACCATGATCGTATTTCGCGTTCTACATCAGATATGCGGTACTCGCTTTGGTCGTATCGATAGCCGCAATTCGACTGCTAGGTGACGTATTTAGTGGATAGATGGCTCAGTGGTAGGAGCACGAATTTACTGACCGGAAGGTCCGTGGTTCGAACTCGACCTCTGCCTCTCGACTTCCTGTCTAGACTTAAGCAACTTGACAGTATCCCGGCCCTCGTGCTTCCTTCTGATGACATGGCAGTTAGGCACCGAGAGGGTGCCACAACTGAGCGACGTACATAGTGAGTTCACAAGCCGTGTGCATGTTAGTGCCACGCACGGCACTAAACTGGGCACTACAAGACACTGAAGCGAGCTTGACACTGACGCCCACTGTTAGCTTTGTAGCGATTGTATTGGAACAATTACGCTCGAGTGTTTGTGACAGCCCAAATATGGACTGCCGCGGCATCAGAACTGCGCAAGCTGCGGAGCATATGCCCGCATACCACTTTATGGGTGATTCATTACCTCTGTCAGTCGATTGCTCTTCCGGAAGCAATCCCCCAAATAAACTGTCATGCCTGCATGACAGCGAATGCTGGAAATGAATCTGTGGTAGTGGTTAGCCTGAGTACGGCGTCATGAAAGCCGGGCAAGCAAAAAAGAGTATGCCTTTTCAAATGCAACGCATGCAACCTCAACGCGTAGTCCATTTTCCCGTAATGGATACGTCGAATGCGTAAGACTAGGGACATAGGATCAGTAATGCTGAAGAACGCCGAATGGCTTCTGGAGGAAATAGCTCGCCCACGATAGATGAACTGACTACACTACATAGGTTGCGCCAGCTTGGTCACGTGTTTCGTAAATCGTTCAGCTGCGCCCATGCCAACGGAAGAAGGCAAGAGGGCTGGGACACTGTCAGGTTGCATGGATGACCGAATTCCGAGAAGTCTTTTTACACGGCCAAGCGAATGGTGGGAACTAGGCAACGAAGTAGAAAACCCATTACCATAAAACTCAGCCGAGCTAACCATCGTCGTCTCCCTGGATGGGGACCGCAAAAAGAACAAATCAATGGGTAGAGACATTATCGGAGAAGGACCAGTCGCACCTTCAATGGCGCGACTGCATCTAAGCTGTCATCTTAAATGCATAGCACCCCTCCTGATATCTCCAGTGAAAAGTCCGCTGACCACTGCATTTACGCATCAACTATACCACCCGCCACATCCAGTGCGCAGCTTTCTACGCCAAACCTCCTAATCATCGGAACGAAACTGTGATAACTACACCACTGCACAGCAATACGAAGACTTCATAGCTGATGATAAGAATGAAAACTAACGAATGCCTGACAAAACGTTAACTTACCGCATGTCAGCGCAGCGGGAGAGAGAAATTTACGACCATCTTTTTCCAGCACATTTGCATGCCAAAACTACGGGAGAGAGATGAGCGGGCGACATGTAAATGACTTACATCGCTGAACCGTCTGGATAAGACAGTTTCCGAGTCAGAGTTGTGGCTGGAAGGTTGAGAATTAGAAATTCCAACCGACTCCAGCAGTAACGTTAACAACCGAACATTTTTGTGCAAGCTGAATCCGTTGGGCTGTGAGGACATCAAAAGCATTGAGTTCAATGCGAAGTCCAGTTCGTTGGGTAGGTTTGACCGCAGAGCATACTCCAAACTGGAGTAATCAAACTGGTCAACAAGTTCAGTGCTGAGATTCCAACCAGCACGAAGATGATTGGGTACGCTATCCAGGTAGTTCATTGAATAAGTCGGTTTCGATCCCTTGGAGGTCAAATCAGAATCCTAACCATGAGAATTGATAGACAACAATCAGAAGCATACCTGTGAATCTGTATCGACGTAGGCAGGTTCTAATTCATCGGTTCTCGAGGCCATCCGCTGACACCGCTCATACGGCTCTAGGAAACGCTGGTATATACTGCGTAACCCATGGCCAGACTCAATACAACCCAATGGAAAACCCATCGATGCGTAAACAGCGGCCCACTCGTGCGAAGCGGTTACCTACATATTCATCATTAGATGGGTTGGAGCAGGCTTGCCTGTTTGTGTCCTCCACGAAGAGCTACTTCATTGTATAGTCGTTTGAGGTCAACTGGACGGCCGGCGAGATACGGTGGTATCGGCGTACAAGCACTTCTGATTGACAGTAATAATGGGTTAAAAAGAACCTACTTATTGTGACGAGACAGACGTTGAATCTCGGACATAAATTGTGCATTAGATTTAGTTACAAGGGGTAGACACAAACAGCCGCTTGAGTAAATCCTGCCTTTCGGCTTAGCCGAGCTCAGTTTGAAATTTAGCGATGTGCCCATAGGACTCAGAGTATAAGCAAATTCCGAACACTGTCGTTCATCGGTGCGTCAGAGACACTGAAGTCCACGATTGCCTGTCAAAAGTTTCAGCTACACCTGTGAGATGGCATTGATTCGGATTCCGGCAAAGCTGACAAAGTCGCGGACGGAAAACTGCCCATGCAAACAGATGTGTGGCATTTCTCGAGAAAACTGCCTGGCACAAGGTATCCCTTCTCCCACTTCGGTGTTTGTCGCCTGTGCTTCCCAGGTTCGGAGGCAGCGTGAAATTCGCGGAGAGCGACAGACGTCTACGTGATACGGACAGGCCAATCGAGCCGGGGTGCGCGCGTTCGGATCGCGCACAGACAGCAATGCAGGGCTATCGATTAGTCAAGGGCTGAACAACGGGAGGCTCAGGATAGGCCTGTGATTAGGTGCCATAATTGAGAGCTGAACTATAATATGCAAAACGAAAAAATAGGACGTGGATTAGAAAAATATTTCGGGAAGAAGCATCGAAAGGAAACTGATTCTATTGCCAAGCGAGATTGATTAATCACCAAAATTCGTAACACCTTGTTTGAATGCATCAAAAAAATTCATGGATTTTTATTTTGCAAAGTAACATTAGGCAAATTAATGTAAAAATACGACCACCAATGTCTGCCTGTCAGACACAACCAAGAAACAGTCAGCGCGCCGTTCAAATTTACGAAACTTGCGCTACATGACGCACACGGGTAGACTTGCTCAGGTGAACACTATTGTTCCGTCGGATGAGGTGGTTACTTTTAGTGTCCCTGGTAAGCTGGTTGAATTTCATTACGCCCGCATTAGTCTTAATCCATTTCATGTTTGTCGAATTTGTCTAGGATCTGACCCCGTGGCAATGCAAACAATACTAAATAATCTAAATAATTCTGCCTCGCGGTTTGGAATGCACTTCACACCTGCAAAGTGTAAAGTGCTACTGCAAGACTGGGTGGGCTCGAACCCTAGCCTCATGCTTGCGTATGAACCGATTGAGGTGGTATACAAATTTGCTTACTTGGGCAGCTGTATCAGTCCCGGTGGTCTCGCGAAAGATGATATTTCCATCCGGATTGGGAAGGCCAGAGCAGCTTTTGCGAACCTACGTCACCTGTGGCGTAGACGTGACATCAGCTTCTCTGTCAAGGGTCGAGTTTACAATGCTGCGGTGCGCTCCATATTACTATATGGATCAGAAACCTGGCCGCTGCGCGCCGAGGACGTCAAAAGACTTTCAGTGTTTGACCATCGATGTCTTCGGAGCATTACCCGAATCTGGTTTTCGCAAAACCTCGTGAAGGGTGAAAACAAGCCGGGGAAGGTCAAAGAATGACTTGGCAGCGAAGTATGAAAGCCATTACCAGCAAACTCAGCTGCGCTGGTCACTGCCCTCTTCCTGGATGGGGACCCGGAGACGGGCCACATCAATGGCTAGAGACATTATCAGACATGTCCCAGTCGCGCCTTCAATGGCGCTCGTGCATCAGAGCTATTGCCTTCAATGCATAGCTCCTTTTCCAACCCCCCACTTGACAGCCCACTGACAGTGCTGGATTTATGCACCAATTTACCAGCTCGCGCGTGCAATGCGCAGCTACCTACCCCCCAATCATCGGTGAACGAAACTGCGGCGGCTACAACCAGTTTACGAGTACGCGGTTCTTACAGCTGACAATGATGATGATGATGATGAATTTGTCTACCTTTCGTACAGTCGTTGTTGTCAGGGGTAATAACGAGTGGCATTTTACCTAACTTAGTCACACCACAGACGATGGTTTTCACGCTTTTAAGGTGTTTGCCTCAGGTGACATAATTGTATTCATTGAAGCAACGATGCTGCCTTACCCGATGAAGGACGTGCTAAAAAATTTCGGCCCTAAAAACCACACTCTCTGATCGCCCAACGGTTGACCGTTACTACCGGCGGATTATACAATACGGTCGAAATACCTTTAAAATCAAAAGGTCTGGTGCGAATATCACTATTACCACGACTTTTCTATTTTTCATTTGTGTTGCTTATGAGGAGTTCATGAAAGTTTCCATAGGATTTCAACAACAAATAGAACCTTGATTTGGTTCATATGCACTGCAACAGCGTTTTTAAGTGTTTGTTCCGTTCGCACACCGTCTTTGCCCAAGGTGTAACGTTTTTCTAAAATATAATCCCCGGTGACTTATACGGTCTCTACATGCATGTGATGGGAGTGTTTTTGACACAAATCACTGATACCTGAATCGCCATTCAGCGACAATGTATAACTATACAGTCAAAAGTGAGATATTTATCGTGCAGGTCCAATTCCTATGTGACGAACTAACGAAGAATTGTTTACGAGGTTGTGGTAATAGCATCAGGCCTAACTCGACAGCCGGCTGATGTCATAAGTCAGACTAGTGAGTTGCTGGCTCCTGGAAGAGTCCCAAAAGAACCCTACATCCCCTCACTGGCTTTTGGGTCAGACTTTTGAGCCGAAGGCTCGAGTTGGGGTAGCCCAACCAAACCTCCTTCCCCGGCCTAGACATCCGGGAGATATCATTTGCCCGCACAGTTCTGTGCCTCCCGATGTCCCTCCTCAATCCAATTCCATCACACAAACGAACGTTGGCTTATTTGAATGTCAGCTAACTGACCGGTGGGTCTGAGATGTTTAGAGTGTGTGAACGAGTTAGAACAAGTCCGGGTTGTCGAGGATAGACAACGTTTTACTTGTCTAAGAACGAGCGTGGATGAGCTGGAATTACATACGAAAGCTCAATGCGAGCATGTAGGATGAGTATAGTAAAAAGCGCACAAAAATCATGACAGGGCCTTAGGAACCTGCTAGCTAATAACAATAGACAAAACGTCACTTTTCTCAATCCACGAGGTCCTTTTTACAAAAGTGCTTTTAACGTGCGTATTCTGTGAAATTGGCAAGCAAGAAATGCTCACTGCAACGTTGCACTCCCTAGAAATTGATGAATGCTGTGTCTCCGTAACATGCATACAAGACCCAAACGTGGTTGTGCATTTGAAAACGCTAAGGACGACCACAGCTCTTTCACATTTCTCCCTCTGTGTCTGGTTTCCCAGACTCGTGGAATATATGGTGTGCGAGCTGAACGCGCCTAGCGCGATTGAATCACAGTGAATGGTCGTCTTTGCGCCGTCCGGTTATTCAGCTCTATCAACTCAATGTGTCTCAAGACAAAAGCGGTGTCTGTTTGTAGTGTTGGCTTATGCCCAAATGGCCTGCACTTATTATGCTGAGAAGGATACTTTCTATCGAGAGTTATCCAGGCTCGTTCGCCAAGCAGAAAGCGCTGACATTGTGATCCTTGCAAGCCATATGAGTGCTCAAGTCGGTCGCCTGAGCTCCTTGGAATCACAATGTGGTGGTCGATTCTGAGTCGATGCTCTTCGCACACAGCGAAGCTTCTAATTGTGTGCTGATCAGTAACTGTTTTTGGCCAGTACGAACTTTCAGCATGAACGTTCGAATAGCGTAACCTGGCGGCCACCGACTCAAATCACCCGTGAAGCCAGTTGGATCACGTGGCCGTCAGCCACAGTTCAGCCACAGCTACAGTTCAAAACTGCCTTCTGGGGTGCATAATTTGATTCCTATCACGCCATGGTGAGTGAACGCCTAACAGTTGGTTTCCCCTCAGGCCCTCGCAAGTCAGCAAGAAACATGCCAATCCACTATCTTCGAAGAACCACCAAAGCTCAACGTTATCAATCGTAGGTAGCCCAGCAACTGTCCACAACAAGCCAATACTGTACTGGTATTGAACACGTGGACGAAGCATGGCAAAATATGAAAGTAGCTATCGTAGCGATGTTCACTGCCGTCTGCTCGTCCTCTTCAATTTGACCACAAGACCACTGGATGTCGTCAAGATTGTTATCCATGATTGATGCCAGGAAATCGATAGCAGCAGGCAACGAGTACGGCGGGGCACGAAAATCCCTCAAACGTCAACTGGTGAAGAGCCTACAGAAAAACCGAGAGCTCTTGTGGACACAGAGAGCTCGGGAGGTGGATAAAGCTTTTGCTACGGGAACAGCTATGCCTTATATCAACTGATCGGCCCTAGGGGAGCAAGAGTCAGTGGAGCGATAAGTGCAAAAGGCGACTCGTTAATTCACTCGCGAAAAGATCGACTGGAAAGATGGGCCTAACACTTCGAAGGACAGTTTTTCCGACTCCTGCAACACAACCTGTGGAGATAGTGCAAACGGATGAATGAAATGTAAACCTAAATCGTCCATCGGAAGAAGAAATAAAGTGCGAAATATCATTACTGAAACGCGAGAATGCACCAGGACCGGATGCCTGTATCCAGCCCTCTTAAAGAAGGTGGAAAATCCCTGGTGACCTATCTGACAAAGCTTATTGGGGAGATACGAACGAAGAGAAAGTTCCTGCAGAATAGGGTTTGTCGACAGTTATTCTTATCTCCAGAAAGGTACGCGGACGCTATGTGAAAACCGCCGTGATACGAACGAGAGAAAGTTCCTGCAGAAAAGGGTTTGTCGACAGTTATTCTTATCTCCAGAAAGGTACGCGGACGCTATGTGAAAACCGGCCTAGCATCAGCCTCATCATCATCATCATCATCATCAATGACAGCAACATCAGTGTTGCCACTGATGCTCCACTGCCGTACAACCATAAAGTTCGTTTAGTTATATATATAACTGTGTTAAAAGCCCTACAGTGAAGAGAAGAGGAAAACAGTGGGTGAGGGAGGAGACCTAGTGCTGGCCTTTGTCAAGCATACTGAGGTGCCTACACCTCCAACCGCTCAATCAGACAATCTGGAAAGAAACTGACAGCACGAACGCCACTGACATCGATTAGCCGCCATTTCTTGCAACGTCTCCAG